GTACTCTCTCGTCTTGCAGTTTTTCTGCCGGGATCGGGATAGGACTTGGTTCACGGCTTGCCGGGGGTTTAAGACTCGGGATAATGTGCCACCCGTGTCTTCTTATCGGGCAACTCGGCTGAGGAGCCGCCAGGGTCCACACAGAGTGAAGGACTATGGATAAAGTGCGCCGCACCTCCACCAGAACATACAATGACAGCTGAGCATGGCCTGGAACTTTCCAGAATAGTAAATATTGATAGAAAATAGGACTGAAGCAAGCATCCCTCACAATATAACAAAACAGACAGGAAAGAGTCTATCCTGACCACTAAAGAAGCTGCATTGCTTTAGTGGCATTCTGTCCGAATAAATCCTCTCCTTCGGGGTCTGGCGGCTGCCGTGGACGAGCTGAACTGAAATCGATGTGGGACCACTTTTCTGGTAATAAGCCCCTGCAGACTGCCGTCGCAAAGCGGCGTGAACGGGTGGACTGGGTAGGTGACACGCGCGATGAAATGTCCATACAGCTTGCAATTCGCGTAACGAGTGTTGATGAAACTTTGGTGTCGACGAAACGTGCGACAGACCAGCGGAATCAATACCAACTGCAACACCTGTGCTCCGTGAAAGTGCACGTTTACGCCAGAACAATTTGGGAAGCAGCACAGCATCACCTAAAGCATGGCATAGGAACTACCAGCTTGAAGGCAGCTCTTCGGTACGTCGCACACCTGTGCTTCGTGAAAGTGCACGTCTACGCCGGAACAGTTAGGGAAGCAGCACAGTATCATTTAGCACGGCACGGGAACTACAAGCGGCAAGGCAGCTCTCCGGTGCACCGCAAAACCAAAGTGAGCCTTTCGTCATTTGAACGAAACGGCACCACGATTGCACACTGCCAAGCACGACTCACGCAATTTCCGTCGCTAAACTGTGTATCCAAGTATATTGTACACGCTTTACTGCAGATCTCGAGGGTTCCGATGGTCAACGAGAGCACAGAACGTCGCCTTAAAATTTATCCTAGCGGTGTCCGAATCAATCCGAGGTCCGAGCAACGTAAGGCCGATTGTCTCCTTCGTGGCAATATCCCCGTCGGTCACTAGCGAAATGCACACCGTTCCTCCGTATTTTCACGTTATACCTACGTCAGGCACCACGCTGAACTCTGAAGTCGCTTTCGATCGGCCTCATATGACGGATTTCGTGTCTGAAATCAGCTCACCGAGACGAACGACAACCAACAAAGCATCCGACAAGCTCCGGCCCAGCTGGGGCCAGCCGCTGCATGGGCGCTGCCATCTTTCCTGTGACGTCACGTCTTTGGTTTGGTCATGTGACGAGTGGTCAAATTTGCGTACAATGGCAGCCGCCTTATGGGGGTCACTTTCGAGTGCAGGCCGGAACCCCGGTTTATCGCTCTAAGCCCCTCTACCTCGTTGACCCAGCCTGACATTCTCGCATACATCCGTTTGCTGGGCCACGACTTTAAGCTAGCTGAGCACAGCTGGCAGCGGCGCGAGCAAGGCCACGAGGGGAACGTGAAGGTGCTCGAGCCATCCCACTGTGAACCAATGTTTCGTCCACCCCACGGGTGCGTGTCGCCATCTATTGGTTGAACTAACGCCTTGTTCAAGATGGCTGCCGTGGGACCGCAGCCTTAACCTTGAGAATCATGCTTTGTAATCACCCATCGGGGCTTGCGACCCGAGCGCGAACAGCCGCGACTGCTTGGCTCAGCTACGCGCAGGTGCGACTCGCGACAACAGATTGCGCGGCTTCTCCCGGCAGATGTCGCCGCAAGTGCGCGAGGCGACGCCATGCGCTCCGCTAGTCCATTTTGTTTCGTTGAGCACTGTACATCTCTGGCGCGGGCCAACACCTCTTAGATCTCTAGTCCCTGAGAGCTTAAGAGGCGCAGGATGTGGTACGTCCCGAGCATCTCATCATCGCTCATCAGCCAATGAGGTTACGGCGTCAGGCTGAAAGAGCGAATCACAAAGCGGGAAGCGCGAGCGTAATGAGCCACGCCCTGCGCTTCTTAAGCAGTCTGTGTCTCTGTGGAGATCAAGTCGTCTGCTTCTTGCGCAGGGGTTGTGGTGACTTCAGGACGACGCCAAGCTCTGGTTGGCTTTGATTGAAAGGATAGAGGCTAAAGCTCAATGCTAGAAGCCTCGATGTCTAGCACTATTTTTTTTTTCCATCAGCCAACCAGAGCTCGGCGTAATATAATATAATATCAATAAATATATTATTTTTCGAATGAAAGATAAAAAAAGTTCGCAGGAAAGAACTTGCGTCAAAGTGAGCAAAAACTCTGGTGCAACCGGAGGGCCCAACGTCGTATGAGTGGCGTCACACAACAAATTTGATATGAAGCGTCCGTGTTAACGTTCCACTGGGCTATCTGCGAGTGATAGCTGGTCCGGATCCCAGCAAGACGACATGCCCACGCGTCACGCGTCGTAACTTTTTGTTTTACCCCCAGTTTTTTGTTGTCGTCTTTTTAGCAAAAGTCAGCAAATTTTTTTGGTGACTTGTAATTTTTTTTTTCGATAAAAGACGATGAACCATATTCACAAGCGAGCTGCCAGTTACTTTCAGTTGCGTTTCCGATTAACGTACCACACAGACGTGCAAACGTAAATAAAGGTTGCATCAGCAAACATAGACATAAGCAATGAAGTGCGCCTTTGTCAGAACATGTATGTGTGTTTGGAGACCTTCGATAGTACTGAACATTTGCCGGATACTACGATGTAAACTGCAAATAGTGTATTTCACGCCACCTTGGGAGTAAAATATTCAGACATATTGGTTTATATTGTTCTTGTTTTTTTTTTAATTCAGAAACGTGAGATCAATACTACTATTTGACTGAGGTATGATCCCTCCTAGTTGGTTTTTAGACTGGGTGCTAAATGTAAACGTACAATAATCATCGTTATTCTATAGTGCCTCTGACCTTACGTACTCAGGACTTGATAGTTCATGTTAGTACTGTTGGCCGTTAATCAAATCAAGTAGAAGGATAACACATATTGGAAGCTTTTCTGGAAATTAAAGATATATAAAAACATGCGCAAAAACTTAACCGAAATTCGCACAAAAAACAAAACTAACAAATAGTACCGCATCATTAATTTTTTTAGAAGTCAAATACACATAGGCTTTTGCGGTATAGAAATAATTAATATGCTATTTAACCAAACGATGTGTGCAATTGGCGTGCAAAAAATACGATAACTTTTTTTTATTCTACAATTTTTTACACGTTCTAGTTGTTTTTTTTTTATATGTGTTTCAGCGTTTCTTAGTTTGTTTTTGCTTTGTTTTTTCGTAGATTTAGCCCACTAGTTTCTCTGGTGCACTTGAACCAAACTCCGCTTGTTGTTGTTGTTGTTGTTGTTTTTTCTCCTTTTTATATTGGTAAGGCAAACCACAACGTTTTCCTCTGCTCCAGACCGCTGGAGCTTTACTTCTCGTGTGGCAGATAAACTAGAACTTGTTATCTGAAAAAGGGTCTGGTGGTCCTTTCGTGTGGTTACAACGTAGAGAGATAAGAAACGTCTCGTACACATGAATACACAATCGCGAAGCTGGCCCCTGCGTACGTGGCGCCTGCTCTATCCTATATAGTGGCTGGCAAGTTGAGAAACACGGGGCGGACCTTACATTATGTTCACGCTTCTTGCTTTGTGATTGGTTCCTCGGCGTCCGTATCGCTTCATTCCGCGATCTTATTGGCTGATGAACGACAATGAGATGCTCGACGTTCATCCCGCCCCGCCGTTTCTTAAGCTCTTTGTGACTAGACGCGCTGTCGTTCTCGTTCCGTCTTCGACTACGGACGGTCGCAAGCAAGGCGACTGGCCGCCGCCATATCCCTGCGCGTGCGGACAAGTCAGTGCAAGGGCAAACTTGCTACAACTATGTTCACGCGCAAGCTGCACGTGCCTGCACGCGCGGGGCGCCAGTCGGACGGGCGCCGTGCATGCAACTGCCTACAGTGCATACGGAATCTGCCAACTTGGGACACCAACCTATATGCTGTAACGCGTGCTGTAATTCCGCGAGGTCCTCATTTTGCCAACTTCCCGACTACAAAATATCACGCGAAATAAAATGTAGTCTTGCAGTATATCACTCCACGGCAACGAATATATAGGCCAACGCGCCGTTTCCAAACAAGCGCCCCGCACGAGGTGTGGCCCAGCGCGCAGATCCCGCACGAGGTGTGGGCACTGCGCACGCGCAGAAACCAGATTCGCGCCAAGTGGAGCGACTGCGTGAGCGCCTCGCCGATAGCAGCGCCACGCAGCGGTGTGACGTCTCAGCGCCGCGTGTTGATGTATAGCATATCACTCCAAATCGCGGAAGATTCTCCGAACCCGACTTCCCAAATTTTGCCTAATAGTGAGGCCCCAAAGTAAAGTTGCTTTCAGAACTGTTAAACATTGCAAATAGCAACAAAAAAAAAAAGAAAAAGGTGATGTCATGTTTGAATTAACGGCACATTTCGGCGGTGTATCACAATCCTTCGCGCTTCTTTGGCGCGTCTGTCAATTGTTCAGAAATCTGTAATCCGAACTAGAACTGGAATGTGAAGTCAAAATCCCATACCACTGACTATTTCAAAAATTACGAGATAATAGAAGAGTTCTAGCAGACGCTACGGATTGCCGGCCTAGCGGACGCGTGCTCAATCCACGCTCCAAAGTTACAGCACGAACTCCAGCTAGCAACGTAAAGCTCTAGCGTATGGTCTGCTAGGAGTTCTTCATAGAGCTTGCGGGGGACCGTAAACGCAGAAAAAGGATGGATCGGATCGGGTGTTTCAGCTCAGATTAGAGAGTTTTAGGGAACCGTCTTTGCACATCGGACATATGAGTCTTCAGCTGTAGCGCAAGCGCAGTTCGTATACCGGAGGGCCAATCGTACCGTATCGGATGTGCAAAAACGTTTCTGTGAAACTGTTGGCGGAGATACAGTGAAAGCAAGCAGAGCGTTGCACCCACCTGCCAGCGCTTCGGCTCCTCGGCACTCCCAGGGCCGCAGTTGACCGGCCTCTCCGACCGATACCGTGACCACACCACAATCGATGGGTGCACCGTCCACCGTCCTCGGGATTCAGCAGCCGAAACCCAACCGAAGGTGCTTCGCAGCGGCAGCAGCCCGACGCAAGCCAACGCTGCAGCGAGGGTCGCTGAACTTTTGACAGATGCTGGCCCCGATGCTGAAGACGGCGCAGCGCCGGTGTTGGCCCGCGGCCTTGGGGTGTCGGTGCTGGTCGGCTGAGCGGGCGTAGTTGGCCCCGACGAGAGCTGGATGCATGCCCGGAAGAGTGTCGTGCGGCTTGATCGGACTTCGAAATCCGGCCGAGATATTGCCGCTCTCGCGGACGGCGACTGGGGCGAGAAGTAGAAGAGCGCCATGCTCTGATAGGGCGACGAAACCGAGGGGGGCGACCTTCCGATAACGTCGCGCTCCCGGCGTCCCTCCGCCGGGCTTCGAACTGCCTCGACGGGGGCCAGTGTGCCCATCGCGGAATCGAAGCATCGGAGCGGCATTATCTTGCGCTCGTCTTCGTTCGCGCCCGAGGTGGCTGCAGGACGAAAAATTCGCCGTTCAAAATCCTGCGGTCAGCATGCACCTCATTTTTAATGTTCACAGAATCTGTGTCATCAGCCGAATTCCATGCCACAACCGTCACGAACAACCTTCACCAAGATCCGTCACAAGAAACCGTCACGAAGAACTGTCACGTCAATATTTTAGCGAGGGAAATTATTGACACGCGACATCAATTTTCTCGCTAAATTCAGCAGGAAAATTTGATGTGCGTGACGTGGCCACGTCATGTTACCTCGAGTCACGCGACGTCAATTTCTGCGAGGTGGTTGTCTAGGCTCAAAGCATTCTGCGCTTTCCGGTCTTTGGCAGCATGATCAAGCTTGTCTAATTTATTTCAGGCTATTGTCTGTCGTAACATGGGGGGTGTGGGAAACCCCGCGACGACCCTGGCCTTTACTTCCGCGGAATCCTTCCGTTCCCGACTGTAGACGACGGGAGAAAAAGCGAGGACTAACACCTTTTCGAAGCCCTGATTCTCCCTCAAGGCCACCCCACAACCAACCGCACCAAAGGCAGAGATGACGTCATCACCCACGGCGTCAACCCCTCAACCTCGCCCACAAGCTCCATTTGAAAGTTGAACCAACTATTTTATTGTATCAAGCTACAGCTCAAGAAAGTAGGGCGGGGGAAAGGAAGGCTGGGAAGAAGCAGACGGAACGCTGGAGAGGGGGAAACCTCCTCCTTTGTCCAGCGTTCTGTCTGTTTCCTCCTTCTCGTACTTTCTTTCCCTGGCCCTACGTTCTTGACTTACTTGCGACAGACTATACGAGAATGTATTCTGATCCACTCATTTGCCGTAGCGAGCCTACAGCATCAAAATCTTTCCTACCGTTGGGGAACGTATGAGCGTGGCGCAGTACATCCTGTCGCGCTTTCGCGCTGTGCCGATGGAGAGGGCTGCCGCCGACACACTGAGATACCGGATTCGCCATGTATACAGAGACCGCTGCCTTCCTGACCGCTGAAGCTTCCGGGGACTGTCAAGAAGGAGAACAAGCTGCGGGAGAACGGGTGTCAGTCATGTTCACCACTACTCCTGGCGATATCACCAGGTTCGCGGCCGGCGACAAGGTCAATCTTTTACGACGTCATCAATGCGAAATCAAGGAACCAGTTTTTAGGAGGAAAGAACGAAGGGAGGATGTTCTTGCAGGTTCCCTCGGGACACACCGGTGGAGGAGTGCGAGGAGTTTCGGAATGCAATTGGATAGTTGTTTCTATACCCGGCCGAGAAACATTTGTTTATTAGAAAGGCCAGGACGTTAAGCAAGCTTAATTATGTTGGCTCGCTACATCAGCGGACGCTATAGGAGCCATCCCAGCTAATCCAGCACTGAGAACGAATCACGTGACTATACGTGTCCGCGCGTCACGAAAGACCTGTGACGCCCGCACGGCTATGAGTCGGCTTCAGTGGCTCGTAGTCACGTCCTCTGCGGCTCACCGTAAGGTGAAACTATGGTGGCTAGAATAGTTAAAGGGAACAAAGAAGTCTGAAAAGTTCCGACCGTCGCGCGCGTAGCTATGCGGCCTCGATCATCGGAGGAAGTCTTTAACAAACATGAGAGCTGCAAGCAGACTTGTACGGTATACTCATTACAAGTAATGAAATGACTCGTAAACGATTACTTTTCCAGTAATTTTGTAATAATTTCGTTATTTTTATTAGAAAGTGATCACCATAGTAATTAGACTACCCGTGAAAGCACTAAAATTACTTGTGACCGTTACTATTTTCCTTCCCTTTCTAATGGCGCACTTTATTTCTGCGAGTCTCAAACCGACGAGCCCTCGAACCATATAGAATGCTGCGCATCCGCCCATACCACACTAAGCGCCCATATCCTAATTCGTAACATCTCAGGAAATATACACAGCACATTGATATGTAAAATTGATGACCGGACAAGCGCACATCCTTTATTTCTTTGCGATTATCTTTAACTTTTAAGAGGGCGCTTGCCCGGTAATTTACGGTATGTCTCCGACCACAAGATGGCCTGCGAATAATGGTGGATTGAGAAGATAAGTAGCTCGTAATTGGGTGATTCTAATCCAATAATCGGGTGTTTTAGGGAGCCGTTTTTACACATCCGATACGATACAATAGGCCCTCCGATACGAACTGCGCATGAGCGAGCCTCATGCGGTAGTATGTGGTCAGTTCGCCGAAGTACCCATCGTGCCAAATCGGATGTGCAAAAACAGTTCCCTAAAACTCTCTAATGTACAAACTGAACAAAATCCAGTTTTCAAACCGCCAAAATTTTTTTAACGTAAAGTAATTGGAGACAACGGTTTTTTTTTTTTTGTGTTTTTAAGTAACGGTAATTTACTTTTCATCTCAGGTAATCGAGTTATCTAATTTCACACGTTTCAACCGAGTAATTGTAATTGTAATGTACTACTTTTCTTCGAGTAACGGGTACAAGATTGACTGCGAGAGAGTTTCCGTCAATGAAAAAATAGATGCTACCTTCATTGTTCATTGCGACGAGGTACTTCAGCAATAGGTGGAACTTTGGATTTTTCGGGCGAGAATCTTTAGAAAAAGGACGCTGACGGATGTTCATTTTTCACCGACGTCGAGAAAATGAAGCATTCATAGTGCTTCATTTCTCTGCGAGAATTTAAAGACGAAGCATTTCCTGGATTAAGTTATCGCCGTATGTCGTAACACACTAGGCTGTACATGGCTTGTACTACAGGTAATATCGTTACTGGTGAGCGGAAACATCGTGCGTCATTAAGGAGTACTTTTGTTGCGTACAACTCATCCAGTGTGCTATTTTTTTTTTCGCTTTAACATTTTGATAGATACACTGACTCATCCGCCTAGTAATTGGATTTTTATTTGTATTTTGCCTCACTTTTATTTGTGTTTGACCATTGACGCCAATAGACCCTTCCCGAAATTCAGTGCCATCTGGTGGCTATAATGGAAGTTTAACTTTTGCCATACTAATGCCGGCCATGAAAATGGCGTCTGCCGTATTTTATCGGGCGCCGTCACTTTCAAACGTCAACGGAAAACGACAGTGTGCGCTTCACTGTACATTTCCTTCTCTATCTCTTTCAGTAACGATAGAAACAAAGATGCAACCAGTCAGAACGAAGCGTCAACCCACGTACACGGCTTGATAAAGTTCTGCAAATCAAGGGGCTTTGGATCATCTTGATGCTACCAACAGACTGGCTGGGTTCGAGCTAGAAATGAACGCTTACGCAGATCTTACTTTCAATTCCTGCTTCGCATCGTGCTAACGTCACGAATGTATAAGCCTCCAATTATCTGCTAAGGAGCATCTTCAACTTCTTCCTTCATCAGTAAACAGAAGGCCGCCATTAGTACGGCACATATGCCATTTTTCCGATGATGATGGTGATCAAAGTGGCCAGACTGAATTTCGGAAAGGGTCTCTTCAGCGTTTTGAAAATTAAGCATGCAGGACAGAGTATTGTGGAGATCAGCTGAATTCACGTTTTTCTAGAACCAGGCCCAATCAGACTGCTGACCTGGGGTTATCAGCGTGCATCCCTGAGTCGAAATTGCTCGACCGCCTGCGTGCATTATTATTGTCTTAATTTAGACTCCCAGGGTATGGAATTCAACTCTAAAAGTACCAAAGAAAAGCACATAGAACATTACGAATTCTTAATGTCGGTCCGCCCTTGCATAGGCGACGCTGATTCAGCGTTGTAGATGGGCAATTTTGTCGGCGAATTTGAGCTGCTAGTCTGGGGTCTTTCACGTCCTTAACGCAGTAGTGATTACACGACGCACGCCAATACCGCATGGATCTCTTCAGATGGTCAGATTGCCATTCTGGGATATGCTGGCGCGTGTGCTGTTGAGCAAAATGATAAAATGTCACCGCCCTCAGGGACAGTGGATGTATGGTCCAACGCAAGGTCAGGGAGGATAATTTCGCCCAGTTTTCTAAAACGAAGGTTTTACGACTGCTTTTAGCACAATTGGCGGTCGCGCGCGTTACACCCTCACTAAGCCTATTGTTGTTTGTTGTTTCAGGTGCAGTGCACATTTTTTTGTAGATAGCTAGTCTCAAACTTCGTTTTAAGGATATGTGGCAAGGAAGCTTCGAGAACACAGCTACAGTCCTCTCGTGATTGTCCATATGAACACCTCCGTTCCCAGTACAAATAGTTCATAATGTGAGACTTCTATAATAACAAATCAAGTTCTGTATAACAGATAGTAAACAACAAGCGTGGCCACAAAAGACAGCTGATTTAGGGAGAACAAGTGCCAGCACTTTCGTCTGCACAGACGGTTCGGTGCTTACTTTCGTATCTAAAAAAGCGTAAGATACCTGCTACCAGTAAGGCACGTTCTCCGTGTCGTTCTTGCTCTAGAAAACCAGTAGACTCTTTTCAAAAGTCCACCAGGCAACCTTGGCATTCGCCATTTTTGGGGGCTAGCTGGCGCGACCTACCGCCCGTTACAAAAGGTATAGTCATTAACATCATCCATCCATCCATCCTTGGGCACTAAGCGCGTGGTTGGATCCGAGTCTACGCCGAGCGCTGACCTACGTCTTGTGTTCATAGTACACGCTCAGAGTATGTGCCCAAACAATGGCGGACTCGGTTGATTGACACAGCTGCTACTAGATGACGCCCACTTTTGAAAAAATGTCGTTTGCTGTCTCCGAACCTCGGCGAGTTGCACATCGAGAAACAGTTCACGCTTGATGACAGGTAGTCTCGCCTCCTCCTAAGGAACGTCGGAAGCGCCTTGACTTTACTTTTTTGCACAAGGGGCACACATCAAC